TAAACAAGCGCTTCTTGGGAGGCAACCCAAGTGATTTACTACTTACTTAGTTATTTTCTTTTTGCTCTTTTGTTTTATCTTTGAATAATTGGAGTTTGGAGTTTTTGTGGTTTTCCTTGGCAGGACGTATCGAGGACTAGGTTGAGCATAGGCGAGCGGCTTGAACGTGAATGCTTATTTCCCTCGATGTTATTTCGGTTTGCACACCTTTTCTCATTTTATCTTTGTGATGTTGCTTCTTCCTCGTGTCTTTTCTTGTGAGTTTCATGTTCTTGTGTTTGTTGCTAGTATTGGTTCATGATATGAAATTGCTAAGTCTTATTTTTTGACTTCCTGGATATGTATTGAAGCAATGAAGACATTGCCTCATTTCAAATGTGGGGGAGTTTACTTAGATTTTGCATGCTTATGTGGTAGACCGGTCTAGTGTAGGTTTTGTGCGTTTTGGAGCATGGACTTTGGAAATTTCAAAATTAGTTAAGACTTGTTTGATGAATTCGATAAGTTGTGATGTTGGTCATATGCGTCATAGCATGATGAAATGCTTGGTCGATTACTTTTATTAGCATTCATATATCTACCTAGTGAGGTTTGAGCCTTATTTGTTTCTTGAGATACATTGGTCGTGCTCTTGTTTGATTAGAACTTGTCTTGAGTCTGCATTGAAATAATTTAATTAGAATTGTGAACTGTGTATATGATTAAGGCGTTTATTGTATTCTATTATTTTCTTTCTCAGCAAATTATTCCCTAGTCTCCCCTTTTTGAGCCTTATTTGATTTTTGTTGATAACCTCATGATGATGACGTTGTTGGAGTTGCGGGTTAAGAATTGAAAGGGGTGATTGTTGGAGTTGTTTTTATAAAAAAAAAAAAAAAAAGAAAAAAAAAAGAAAAAAAAATGAAATAAAGTGGGTGAAACGTGTGTTTTTAGGAAAAGCGTGGGGGGAGGATCCGGTATGTTTGAGCAACCGGTTAAGTGTATGATTCTTGGGGTAAGGTGTTTGAGTTATGTAATGAATTCGAGCCACTTAACCTATATTTATCCTACATGTCCAAAGAGCCTACGTTACAACTCGAAAAGACCTTTTGATGCACTAGTTTCGATTTTGATTAGTTTAGAGTAGAAGTTAGATAGTGGGCAAGCATATGATTGAACTTATTATCGACCAATTTGAGTGCATCCATCTTTATCTGTATAAGAAATCGAGTGAGACACATATATATATTCCATACTTGAGAGAACGCCATGTCAAAGTATAGTGAGCAAGCATGTAGTTGTGTAATGCTCGTATATGCCATTTGAATGCTTGTTGTTGAAGTTGAACATTTTGAAGCTTATCTTGTTAATGACTGATGTCCATGCTCGGTTTTAGTTTTGTGTTTTTTCTTTTCTTTTCTCTTTGTTCGGGACAAACAAAGGTTTAAGTGTGGGGGAGTTGTTTGTCCCATTTTTGTTGCATTTTTCGTGCTTGTTTTGCTTTTCTTTTTCCCCCATTCTATGTCGTTTCTTTCGTTTTTAGTCCGTTTAGTATTTTATTATGTGTTTTTCTTGATTTTGAGTCTTTAGGTGTTTTTTCGTTTGTTTTCCCGATTTTCTTCGCGTTTTGTCGTCTTTAGTGTGTAGGTCGGGAGCTTCGGGCGAATTTTCTCTTCAGCAAAAGTTTGTTTCGAGCACATAGTTAAATAGAGGGGTTTGTTGGCGATGCATAGCAAAAAAGGAAACTCAATTCTGAGTTCGGACGAGCCCAAACGAGCCTGAAACGTAAAATTGCGCAGTGCAGTCCAAAGTCGCGACTCGCAATGAAAATAGAGCCTGAAGGGGCTGTACGCGAGCACGAGTCGCGACTCGCGACATGCAGTCGCGACTCGCGAGTTATGTCGCGACCAAACCCTAGAAATTGAAGATCTTGACGACGCGCGACTCGCGAGAAAGTCGTGACCCGCGACCTGAGGAAAGTGAAGTCGCGAGTCGCGGCTTAGCGGCGTGAATTTCGAGATGCGGGTTTTTAACATCAGATTTCGGTCCTAGGGCTGAGAATTCACTTCCAGACCTAGAAACTCATTCCTTTTTATGCTTTTTCACTTTTGATTGGATTTGGAGATTGAAAAATTCCTTTTTCTCGCTTTGAATTTGGATGCACTTGGATTTGACATTGGATTTTTATATTAATCGTAAGTTCTTTTTCTCAATTGTTTTGTTGATGATGATGGCTTGGGTTGATATGAATTGTGATGTTAAATCCGTTATGAGTAGCTAAATGCATTCGCTAGGGATAGGGGATGATTGTTTAGGTTCGTTATAATTGAATGCCTTTTGATTGTTCATGTCCATGCGAGTTGTGAGAATTATAGGGTTATAGATTGATCACCTTTCTAACCTAGTTAATCAACGTATAGAACCGAGAGGGGAGACGTTGGTCGATTTAGGCTCGTTTAGAATAGACTTGTTCAGAAACGTATTGTCTATGTGTTGTTGGAATTGATAGTTGATCGTTTACATTCACTCTCTTGTTACGAAGAGTTATTGAAAGTGAACCTCTGAACGAGAAACGATTCAAGTCCTTTAACCGAGCAATTGATTGCCGGTAATTGTGATAGAACCGAAAGCAATTATCCCTGACTCCCTAGCTCTTAAGTCATTGAGTTATTGCCATTTACATTGCATTTATTTAGTTTAAAGTCATTAGTTTATAATTGAAACCCAAAATTATTGAATTAGAGTGTTTAAACCTTATTTTCTTTTCGTGTGTGATCAAGACCAACGCTAAATTCCTAATCGTCCTCCTGGAGAGATCGACCCGAGGAACGAATCTTTTGATTCGGTACTCGGTAAAAATAAAAATAATTTGCTACAACAAATATCGTACCCGACACGATGGAGACTTGATTGCGAATATGGTCAATGGGAGGTCCCGTTTTGCGTTGACATCCCCGAATTTGACAGTGAGCAAGTTGTCGAACCATTTTACGACGGTTCGCCGATTTTTGATGAGGAGCCTCCGGGGTCCTATGAATCAAATGAAGGAACCCAATTCGAAGTAAATGAAATTGAAGAGAATGAAGGGCATGAGGATGATGATATGGACATTGCTCCCAATTTCTTTACCTATTTTGAGGCTGCAGCTCCACTCCTTGACCGTGATGCATCCATTATGGCAATATCTTCATGGAATGATAATGAACAGAGGCAGTTTGTTTATCATGATTTGAGTTTATCATGTTTTGGTATTCTTGAGATTGTGATCTCATTAATATCGTCCCACTCGTACGCTTCCCTACATCACTTGTCCACGCCCAAGCAATTGAATACTTCTGCAAACGTGTGGCATTTCATTAAGATGAAAAATATTTGAGAAATGTCTTATTTAAAAAAAAAAAAAAAGATGCAGAACATAAAATGTCTTGTGCATCATTGTTAGATTATTAAGTTTAAAGATCAAAAATGGGGATTCTAATGTCAAACTGNAATACTTACAAATAAATTATCCAATGAATGTTCAAATCTGTAATTTTTTAAATTTGCCTGGCTCTTCACTCGACTCCTCGTCTTATCAATTGTGTGCAGAAACCAAGTTTTTGTTTTTCTAGTCTTTTATTATGTTTAATTATTTATTTAATGGTGAAAAGAATACTTAATTAACTTAGTTTATTATATTATATCCCCTCTTAATATATTTAAAAACATGTTGAGCCTAAATGGCTGCCTCGCACGTTTCGGAAGCTTATTTGGCAACATTACATGCTTCGGTTTTTGGTTCGGATACATTCCCTAATTGTTTAAAATAAAATACTTAATTTCTTATATACCGTGTAAATCCTCAAACTCCAAAATAAATAGGATTCTTATCTTATTTACATCTTATGATTCTTATCTTATATATCGTGTAAACCAAAATAAAAAAAAATAGCTTTAATAACCTTTTTATATAGTTTAAATTAAAAAAAATACTATACAATTTTACAAAAAAATATATAGCCACTTGCATATTAGGATTCTTATCTTATATGTCGTGTAAACCAAAATAAAAAATTTAGTTTTACATATTATTTTATTTAAATAATTAATGTAAACAATAACTTTCTTATATAGTTTAAATTAAAAAATATTATAATTTTACAAAAAATTTATAGCCACTTGCATATTATATCTTTTCAATCCAACCATAGTAAATAATTATTTAAATATTTTTATAATATCTATAAAAATACATTGAAATAGTTATAGAATATTACATGATCTTTCTGATATATTTTAAAAAGTTGAAATAAAAATAAAATAAATTTTGATTAACACCATGGTAAATAAATTATTTAAATCTTTTTAGAATATCTATACAAATACATTGAAATAGTTCATGTGTTTTTTCTATTATTTTATATTTTATATATTTTTTTTCAAACAACCCGTGTAGTACACGGGTGTCGTACTAGTAACTTATTAAAGCAAAAGAAAAAAAGAGGTGTGCATGTGTGAAACTCTCAAGGAAGAGAGATTTATTTACATTAATATATATTTTAACTTTTAACGGGGGCAAAGTGATTAAATATACATAATATTATATATTATATATACATAGTACTAATAAAAAAAAAAAAAAAGTTTGGCGGCGATAATGGCCCCCCTAAGATATATATGCATCCGCCCACCAGTCCGCAAAAGTTACCCGGGTATTCAGGTATGTGCCATTGAATGGTACAAAAACTACACCTTAATTCTAAGTAGTACAAAAAGCACTTGTATCACTTTGGCATCTCTTCATTTACAGCAGAAAGAATCACATAATCAAATTAACAGGTGTGCTATCACTATACAAATACAGTTTTGCTTTCTGATCTCACACCATAAACTATTCATGTTAGGAAAACTCCATTCAACTCATCCGAAATCAGATTCACCACAAGCCTCTGTCTCAATCACCAAAACGTTGGACGTTAATTCCCTTAAATGAAGCTCAAATTGGAAAGCTCAGATTTTGGTGCGGAGGTTAACGAGCTCGTCTAGTCAAACGGGTTCCGGGAGTTACCCATAGGCTCGAAAGCTACAATTGGCTTCTCTTGCTGCTGCATGGGGGTCTCCAGGGGTGTATCTGTCATTTGCATAAGATTTTTGTTGACAAACGATTGCTCCTGCTGCTGATTGGAGTCATAGACAACGAGTGATGTTTCTTGCTGCTGTTGTGGAATTCCAATCACTTGCTTGTAGTCGTAGCCTATCATCTGTTGTGTTTGCTGCTGTTGGGGGATTTCAGCTAACTGTAATTGATTTGGCTGTGACGGGTCGTAAAACATTTGTGTGCTATAATCATCGGATTCGAATGGATTGTTGGAAGGGACGCCTGCCATTTGCAGGGAAGTTCCGTTGGTGTTGTTTTGTGTCATTGCAGCATCGTATAAGCTGTCCAACATTGATCTATCCAGTACAACTCCCTGCATTATTTTATTGTTAGGTCAAACAAAAAAAAGTAAGCATGCTTATCAAGAGGATTGATTGTAGAAATTGCGTGATTGGNGAATTAAGAGTGAAAAAAATTGATTGGGTGGAAGAATGGATTAATTTGGTTGTGAATGAACATGAGATAAAATGTAACAATTAAGTTTGATATAATATAAAAGTAGTAAAATAATGATCAATGATAAAAAAAAGATATGCAAGTGGATGAATTGTGAATTTTGTTTGAAAATGTGTAATAGTGATTAGTTTTTGGCCGGTCCAATAAAAAAACCTTTAATTTTGTTATTGAAGCTGTCAAAAACAGGATTTTAAACTGGAAATGCAAGTTCTTATCCACTGCAGGGAAAGAAGTTCTCATAAAGTCGGTTCTGAGTGCATTGCCCAACTTTGTGATGTCCTGTTTTCTCCTTCCTGCTTCCTGCTGGTGTATGCTCTGAAATTTCAAAACTGATATCCAAGTTCTAGTGGTCAAAAGGTGGTAATCAGGAAGATGGTATACATTAAAAACAGTGGAACCATCTTACTCTTTCTACAGCTCAAGGTGGCTTGGGGTTCACTGACCTCAAATTGTTCAACAAATCTTTAATTATCAAACAGCTGTGCAGAATCTACACCAAACTAACATTACTTTTTAGCAGAATTCTAAAGCAGAGGTACTTTCCTAGCAGCTCCTTCCTGGAAACTCAACCTCCTCAAAACTGCTCATGGCTTTGGAGGAGTTGGATGACAGTGAGGCCACTACTGGAGCAATGACTGTTTGTAAAGATAAAAGATGGCTAGGACACAAAGATTTGGGTTCACCCCTGGATTCCAACAATCCCTACTCACAAACCCTGCAAAAGCATTGCAACAGCCGGAGCCGGCTATAGGCCTTCCGGAGTCTCAGAACTTCTGCTCCCAAACTCAGATTAATGGAATGAATCCCTTCTAAAGCAACTCTTTACAACAACTGAGTATGAGGCAATCTTAAAAATCTCCAATGCTGACAGGACTCAAAAAGACATGCCGATTTGGAATCTCAACAAAAAAGGTCACTTCTCTGTCGCATCTTCCTATGAAGCTCTCTTACATAGCAAACTCTTGAGACTGGACCTTCCTGAATCAAGCAGCCAATCATCTTGGATCACACAGGTCAGAAACATCAATTGGAAGCTAAAGATCAAGAGGAAAATTAAACACTTCATATGGAAGTCCTTCTCAGGTGATATAGGATATTATATACTAGACCAGTCCTAATGGATAAGAGGGGAATATATTGAAGAATATGCCTACACATGGCTAGGACACGTGGCACGATGCTATTGGACATGCCCAACTTGAGCTATAAGGTACACTCCCACTATAAAAGGGGCTAAGGTATCCCATTCACTCACTCTCTCTACATTCATAATTATACTCTTGGGATTTGGAGTGATAATGACTTGAGCGTCGGAGGCCCGACGCCGGGACCCCTCCCGGCATTGGGTTCTTGCAGGTCCGGTGGCCGTTCGAGTTGAAGGAGCCCGGGTGAAATCTTATTCACTTCATTGGCGCCGTCTGTGGGACCCGTTCGAAAAGCCTAACGGAGTTCCGATTGAAAAATTCGAGAAGTTTTCTAGCAAGCTCCTTCTTCTTCACCGGCCGCCACCCTCGCCGCCGGCCACCGGAAAACGTGCTCCGATCGTAAAATTGTTAGCGTCATCGGGTAGATCTCCTCGAGGTGAATCTTCCCTTAAAATTTCATTCGAAAATTCCTCCGGGAAGGCCGTCGATTTTGCATTCAAAGTTTCCAGATCTAGCAAAAATTGGTCAAAATCTTACAATCAAAGGCGTTTTTCCGACGATCTGGGAGGGCTATGAAAAATCCGAGGGTACCACTGCAATCCTCTCGACGAGACGAATCTCCAGAAATCGATCTTCCCTGAACTCCGCCGCCGCCGCCGCCAAAGGTTGCCCGATCGGAAAAATTCTTATGTCATCGCCAAGCCCTCCTCATGCTCGTTCTCCCCTTAGAATTTCAAGCAAAAATTCCCCCGGGAAGGTCATCAATTTTGCGGTCAAAGTTTTTGGATCTAGGAGAGATTTGGTCAAAATCCGGTTATCTTCTCCGATTTCCCGTCGATTTCCGGTGAATCACTTCGAACCGACGGCAATATCGGAATCTACGTGTAGCGCCCCGTTCGTTTGAGGATTATTTGGGATTTTAATTAATATTATTGTCATTATTATTACTATTAATATTAATATTATTATTATTACTATTTTTATTATTGTTATTATTATTTTATTTAAATGTCTAAATGTCTATTAAATGCTCAATGTGTATTATTATTTAATTAAATGCGTGAAATATATTTTATATAAATAGCCGATTATTATTTTAATTTATCGTGCGAATCGAGCCATTTTTATTGGCTAAATTAAACCGCGAATTTTGAGCCCGAGAGAACGGTTTCTTTGAACCACAAATTCGGCCCAAAACCTGTCCGGCCCTACAAGCCAAAACCGGCCCATCTATTATTTTTCCCTTGGTTTTTCACGAGAGGGTTTGGGGAATTTTATTAGACTTGGGTAGCAAGACATAGTTTAACCTAAGGAGAGTATATATATTTTCTTGTTCGGTTCTCTCCTCCCAAAACCAAATCCCGCAGCTTTTGTGACCCTTTTCTTCAATTTCTTTTCTTTCTCTCTCGCCCCTGCCGCTCCTCATCCCCTCGCCATCAGAAACCGATCATCACCTCTCATCTCCTCTCTTGTTCGTGAGCCATCGCCGTCCTCAGCCGTGGAACGGCGAACTTCCAGCGACCTGCAAGCACGTCGCGAACCAGGAGTCCCAGCAGCCCCGACGATCTCCTTTGCCGCAGCAACGCGCCATCGCGACGAACTTCCGGCGGACCTCTTTTTCTCGGCGAACTATTCTCCTCACGCTCGACCATCATCGTGAACCTATCTCGTCAACTCGTGAGCAGGACCTCCTCATCACGTCACCCCCCCTCTGTTCGATTTTTTTCGGCGAGCCTGAATCCATCGCGAGCAACCCACGAGCTTCCGACGACAAGACCCCCTCCGTTCGTTCAGCACTTTGACGAGCAACTTCCGACGACCTAACGGCAGCGACCCTTTGTCCTTCTCAGCCGCTGCGGCGCCTTTCTCTTCCGGCGAGACGCGAACCTCCGTCGAGCCCGTCAACCTTACGTTCGTCCGTTTTCGTTTGATTCCCGAGAACGGTACAAAGGCTCGATCCCGTCTCGTTTAAATCGATTATGTTATATATGAGTAGGTGTGATTCGCGTGACGTAGATATTGGTGCGTTAATGTGTTCGTTATGATTTTATGTAATAAATATGATTTTATGTGTTCGTATGTACGGGACCTCTTCGATTTTCTCAAGAATCGAACGAGACCTCGAAATTCGTGTAAGTCGGTGGATATTGGAACAATGTCGAGCCCTTGGTCTTATGAAAAGGCCTCGGATGAGAAATTTTATGTTGTGAATTAATTTCTAAGTTGTCGAGCATTTGAATCGCTGTTTTGGTGTTTGAATTTTTAAAAATCGTACACTGATCGGAATGACTTGAAATTTTGAGGGATATGTTATCTGTTCATTGCAAGCCTTGTGTAAAAATTTCGTAATTGTTAGAGGCCTGTAGCTATTTATAATGATTAAAATGTAAATCTGAGCAGAATAGTATTAAATGCATAAGAAATTCATTCGTGAATGAAATGAGCTGAAATTCGAATATGTCATGCTTCTATGACTTTTATAGGTTGTGTTAAATGTTTAGAATTTTTGGAGTTGATTTGATGTGGCTAATAATTTATTTATCGAATCTGCTGAAGCGTTGTTAAAATTTTTATAAATTGGTTATTTCATGAAAAATTCTGAAATTTTACTGAGAGGCTTATTTTATGTGTTTAATCATGTTTGTAAAAGATGGGAATTTTTGGAGTCTGTTTTTCTTCAGTTTGGATTTAAATTCGTTAAACTGTTGTTGCTCGTATGAATTTTTAAAAATAGTAGCAGTCAACATTTAAGGCTGAGATTTTTATACATAGACTTTAGTATGCTGTTTGTTGTTGTGTTAAATTTTCAAGTTCTGATTTGTTCATTAAGTTCGAGTATGAATTAATGTTCCCATTTTGTTGATATCTTGTTCGAATTTTATAAATTAATGTATTTCGAGTTTGAAGCTGAAAATTTATGGTTTTACTTATTACTAGAAGATGTAATTTTGTGTAAAATTTCAGAGCCTAAGTGGAAGGGCAGCCTGGTCAATGAATTTCATGTGATTAATAGCTAGTAAATTTTTAAACTATGATTTTGAAGTTAAATCTGTGATTAACTTGCTTTCCATTCTGTTGTGAGTTGAACTTGGTCTATCCTTAGATGGATTTATGCAATCTCCCATATATGGTCTGGTCGAGTATAGTGCCGAGTCTAAGTGTTCCAACGTCCACAGGACTTCACGAACTACTTAGTCGAAACAAGTTCGACTAGGTCTGTTTTGTGTTTTCCGTTTAAAGTCAAGATAGATGTTGATTGTAGCATCTTGACTTAATGTAGGTGATTGAGGAGTCCAGCCTCGACCTACTTCCATTGCTTTGAGTTATTATCAATCCGGAATCCAGGTGGGTTATTCTAAAATTTTCTATGCATATGTGTGATTTTAAATTGTGATGAAAGTTTGGTGTGATCTATGTATGAAAATGAACATGTAGCCTATCGATGTGAGCTTGATGGCCATCGATACGGTTGTCCCCGTATGATAAGATACGGTTACCCCGTGAGGTAAATCTCATTAAGACCTATGACAAGGCCGTGTCATTGATGTGGCACGCACTCCCATGTTTCACTGATATGGCATGGCTTAGCTTTGATGAGCATAGATGTACATGAGTGAGTCTTTGATGAGACTAGAGTCATTGATGTGACTAGAGATGTGACATGATTTAATTGTTTATGTTCATGCTGCGACCATACCATTTATAAGTTATTCATGTG